TCGCAATTGGGTGGCATTGTCTTTCATTGTGAATTTGCACTTGGGAAATGACCAGGATCGTAACATATATAGATATATATATCGTCACAAACAGAACTGCCCGGTAAACCGTAGGCAGAGAGAGAGAAGAGGACAACAAACGAGGGGCTGTGACAAACTGTTTCGTCGGAGTTTCACCGACTCATCAGGATATATATATATATATATGTATATATGGTAAAAGCATATATATCGTGAAACAGAGCTGCCCGGTAAACCGTGGGGAGAGAGGGAGGGAGAAGAGGACAACAAACGAGGGGGGCTGTGACAAAATGTTTCGACGGAGTTTCACCAACAGACTCATCAGGAGGCCGAGGACATGATAACATCACAGAGAACTGCCTCAGGCTTATGAGCCGTAGGCAAAAAAGGGGAAAAGAACTAGAAACGGGTGGGGAGCTGCAACACCTGACACCCTGAGGTGGACAGCAACTACTGACCTCTTAGGTGGGTGGGGATGCCTGTGAAAAAAAAAATCAAAGCAGACTATCGCTCACTCACAGCAGATAGAAAACTCTGGAGACTGCCGTTCACACCCCCCAATCATTCATAAATAAGCCACCTAGCCCCCATGAAACAAACAAAGGTTTGTCTCGGCCAGAAAATACACTCTGGAAACGCAGTTGGCACTGCAGGCACGACATGCCGGCGTAGATATGGTCATATTAAATCATGGTCTTGGCTTAAGCTTCATTGACTGAGATCTAAAGAACTGACTCGGATGCCTACGACTTCTCCCCTCTCCCGACACCCAACAAGGTCGGGAACACTCCCACGGAGATGAATCAAACCCAAATTTGATTTTTCAAAAGTTGAAATTAAAAAAACTCATCGTTTCACCCCTGGGGCCACGTGCTTATGTACCACATCATGAGCGCCTACAAGGCAAGCTGGAGCCATCAACAAGTCTGCAAGACCAAATGGACAAAGGAAGGGACCTGCAACCACTCCAACTGCCACTGAAACAGGGGGTACGAGGGGTAGTGATGCAGGTGCCACTGGGTGGGTTCGGCTTTACTCAGGTAATCAGACAGAGGTGGAGACTCTCAATCCCCTCGAAAAGAGGGGAATCAATGCAGTCTTCAAGGTTACGTATGTGTCATTTTGTGCAAGAGACGGCGAGCGTGGTTCCCAGCGCATTACCCTACGCATCCATGTGATCCCAGTTCGGATTCGAATTGATGATCTGTTCACTAAGACAGCTCAATGTGGGTTCAGTGTACACCATGCAGCCAGACGGGCTGGGTGTGGCATGGCTTATGTTTTGGGCCGGAACTTGCAAGATGTGAAAACAAAGGGAAGGCCTGGGTGTGGCATGGCTTATGTGTTTTGAGGTGGAACTTGCAAAATGTGAAAACAAGGAAAAAAAAAAGGCAGATGTATCTTTCTAAAATTTTGGCTGAGGTCCTTCGGGACATCCGTTGAAATTGGAACGATACCCTCCCTTTCTCATCGTCCCCCACCCCTCATCCAGTAGCAGCAGAGGCTATGGCCAACACTCTCCCACACACCACACACAACCCACTCACGCTCGCACTCACACCCATGTTGGTCATAGATTCCACTAATACCGATCAGGAGTATCCAGAGGACTATCCCAATTCGTTGGCACTAAGTGCGCCGCAGGCCCCATGATCGATACAGAGAAGATTGGCATGGCCCCTGCGCACGGATGTGAAAAAAAATAACAATAATAATTTTCTTTTTGGCTGAAGATGGACTCGGACTCCCCACTTCAAACAGTTGTAGAAGAGTGTAACAAGTAGTTCGTTTGAAGCTTTGGATACACGAGTCCGCGAATGTATTTTCCCAACTTATAGCTGAAAATACACTCAACATTTGACAGATTCGGATATTTAATTAGTGCAGCCAGGGACTTTTCATATCATGAACCAAGTCTTTTGAAATGTGAGTCTCAGAGGGGTATTCCGCTCTACCCACATCTTCTACTAGGCGTAGGCATGTTTTAGCGTATACCTGAACTTTGAGGGTTGTTCGGCAAAATTTCAACCACACCCCCCTCCCCCCTTTCCCCTCTCCCCCCCTACCCCCCTCCAAAAAAAAGGGAAAAAAAGAAAGGGACCCCTCCGTGATATTGAACTTTTCCCCTTTAAGTTAGTGTTGTGTTCAAAGACCCAACTGTGTAGCACCATCTGGTGTTGTACGCACGCCGTACGCATCTGACAACTCGAGAGATGCGATGCGCTCTCATCCCTAGGAATTTGAGAAAACAATGATGAATGATGATCCATAAACAAAAACAAAACAAAAAGTTAAAAAACAAAACTAAAACAAAACAAAAACAAAAACCAAAAAAACGGGAAAAAAAAAAGAAAAAAAAAAAAAGAAAACAGAAAAAGATTATCCGTCGAAAAGGTAAGTCTTTAACAAGTTTAACATGAAAAAAAAAGAAAAGAAAAACATGAACAGTCGACCCACTCAGGATCTCCTCTCCCATTGAACGAAGATCCCGTCCCCTCCATTGAAGGCCACCGTGACGGTGGTGATAACGGGAATCTATAGTTTTGCTACTATAATTACTAATTAGTAATTACCCTCCTCATCACAACCAACTGCTCGCAACCATTGAGCTTTCAAAGTTCAAACAAAATTTGGGCTTGCTGCTTCTATCATTTCAGTTCATGAATAGGGGCTGCATAAACTGAAAAAAAAATGAATAAATTTCATAAAATGAATAGCAGATTGAACAAACAAAGGGGGGAAACTAAAATGAACGGCCATGCCAGCTGCTGAATCGCGGACAACGCCTGTCGAATTCACGTCGTTTGAATCACAGCCTCTTCAGGTGCCAGAACTGCTCAGGAAACCTAACGAAAGCAGCAGTCCAACCAGATAACCCGCAACTGAGCCGTATGTGCAGCAAATTGGCCATTCCTGCCAGCAAATGTCATCAAAGTCAGTACCGGAAGAAGCTAAGCCGAGGCAAAACAATACAGTACAGGAATGCTCACACACTTCACGACTTCCTGACGAGTCGGCGGAACAGTCTGGCACAGCCATCATGTTTTTTTGTTACCAAACGTGACCACACACACACACACACACACACACACACACACACACACACACACAGAGTCACACACACACACACACACACACACACACACACACACATACACACACGCACACACACACACACACGCACACACACACACACTGCTTGCTATTGAGGTGAAACTGTTTCATTGTTGGGTTGTCTGAACTCAAGGGCTTTCGTTGTCTGCAATAGGATTAAATATGCTTTGATTTTGGATCTCTTCATCTGGGTGGAATAGGGGCTGTTGTGGTGAATATTCAACACACACACACACACACACACACACACGGAGAGAGAGAGAGAGAGAGAGAGAGAGAGAGAGAGAGAGAGAGAATGCTAAGTTTTTGTTCCTGCTGAACATGGTCTTAAAGTTTACGTTGTCAGCTGTGTGTTGGCTGAGCTCGGCGAGTTCTTGTTCGTTCCAAATATAGTCTTCGTGTGGTTCACTTTGTGTTTGCTGTGTTTGCCGCTATCGCCAAGTGCAATGAGGCAGTTTGAGATCTGCCAAAGGGGTTACTAGGTGGTGTTTGATAGAAGTGCACTATTGGCAGCGCTGCTGTGTTCAGGCTGGCAGTGCCTGTTTCCTGGGAGGTGAAAGGCATTATCAAACAGGCGGCCTGACTCTAGACGGTGGCATGCACCTCCACAAAGCCTCCACTTTGTGGAGTTCTACCTTCCGTTGTCAGTGGGTGATAGTTCACTCTGGTCTGTACTATATACGTCCGTTTCTCTGTCGGTGCTGCCCTGCTGCTTGGCTGCCCATCCCGCTGGTGTTGTCTTGCCTTGCTGCTCATCCGCTCGCCTTGCATTGGCTTGGTGCTTGCCTGCCCCCTTGCCTCCGTCGCTCATTAACCCACCAGGTCCTCTCCCCTTGCCTCCATTACCCCTTCACCCGCCGCCTGCCCACTCGCCTCCCTTGCCCCACCGCTCACCTGCCTGCTTGCGTCCATTGCACGTCCTCGATGCACCTGCCCACTCGCCTCCCTTCACCCACCACCGGGCTGCCCACTTGCCTCCCCTGTCTCGATGCTTGCTGGGTTGCCTTGCTGCCTTCTCTGCTGCCCCCCACTCACCCCCTCGCTTTATAATTCTGTGTGTGGCTGTTACATGTCTCGTTGCTGTGCTTGTTTCCCTTCTCGTTTCATCCAGTTACTAGTACGTTATTGTTCCTTGCTTTGCCTTCAAGTTGATGCTTGGGTTATCGCCTGCATGGCTGTCCATTTCGCTGCACCATGACAGGGGTCTATGTCGTACATGATGAAATATCACATGAAATACGGGGATTTTGTCGACTCCTGAGGCTTCTGCTTCCAGATGAATTAGGTGCGAGTCGGATCAAACAGTCTGTCAATAACTCTTTGCTCTTTTTTTTTTTCCGCCTGTGTCTTTCCTAGCACGAGTAAATGAGCGCATGGAAACAGGGACAGGTGCACAGCTACAACAGCTGAGAGGCACAGGGTAGTGCCGGCTCTCACTAATAGACGACAAAATTAGAGAAAACTCAGAAAAGAGAGTAATAAAATAGGGTAGTAGTTGCAGAGGGATAAGTCATGGAGGGTAACTTAGGCAGGGGTGAATCCTTAGGGGGGCACATCCTTCCAACAGGAAGTAATCAATGCCCCACCCTTTGAGCCTTCCCTCCATAAATGGCAGGAGCGTGAGTGAGTTCTCTATGTAATGCCCGGGGGGGACTTGGAACTGGACTGATGCTCCCAAAAAAAAAAAAAAAAAAAAAAACAGCCAGCTGCAGGAACAAACACAGAACCATAAACGGAAAAATGACGCATGGACATTGAAATGGATGGCGGCAGCAATCCTGGGGTAACCGTTCAACAACAAAAAAAAAAAGAACGGCAGCAAAGCATAGGCGTGGAGAGGAATCATGATTTGGTGAGAAACCATAGCGAAACCATAGACGTGGACATAGCTGCTTGGATTTATTCCTCCCCTCCCCCTCCCCCCCTCCCCCCCCAGACATCCCTNTCTGTTTCCAGACATCCCTGCGGTCTTCACACAAATAGGATATCCACTCATTACCACTGAAAAATATATAGACTGAAAATCTTTTGCCCCCACAGCGGCTATAATGATCGGGCGACGGACGTGTTCTATTCGGGTGACTACAGTGGTAGCAGTTTGCAGGAAGGAACTTGGCATTGCACATGCTGCTAGGTACAGGTGATTTTCTCTGTGTCACATGAGCCGCGGCCTTGTCTCTGAGTCAAACCAGCAATGTCGTTGTCTCCACGACATGCAAACGTCATCCATCATCATTACAAGAAGCAGGATGATGACGACAATAATGATGATGGCAACAATACTCATGATGATGACGATATCATCATTACAAGAAGCAGGATGATGACGACAATAATGATGATGGCAACAATACTCATGATGATGACGATAGCCAAAACGACAAGGACGATGATAACAACGACAAATTGAATGAGGATGATGATCAGGACATAGATGGTTCATGGATGAAACGATGATGTCATTGACAATGACAATAGATGCTAATTATGATGATGATGCTAACAATGACGATGATGATGACGATGACGATGATGGTGGTGGTGGTGGTGGTGATGAAGACGGTAAATGCTGCTGCTGCAGCTGATGATGATGATGATATAACACAATGAGAAAGATGGTCGATGAGGGTGATGATGAAGGTTAAGACTCTTGGGTAGGCTTAAAAAGCAAGCTTTCTGTCCTTTGGGACATCCATTAAAATTGGAACTATACAGAGAAGGAAGATTAGCATGGCCCCTGCGCAAGGATGACACGCATAAATCGAGAAATGGTCCAAAATTCCTCCAAATAAAAAAAAAGAAAGAAGAAGAAGAAGAAGAAGAAGAAGAAGAAGAAGCAAGCTTTCTCAGATGGTGGATGAGCTCAGACAGAAGTGGCTCGAGTGCAGAGAACATGGGCGGATTTTGAGAATGGCAAGGCATCACTGGCATGGGAATACACACACACACACACACACACACACACACACACACACACACACACACACACACAAAGTGGAACAAGCATATATTTTTTTCCACGTCCACAGTCTCTCACTTTGCCTTCCGGCCTGTCCACATTCACCTCTCGTTATTATTCCATTGAAAGGGGAAGACACGGGTTTAGGGGATTAGGAAGTCAGGATCGCACTGCAGGATATTTATTTCCTTGACACTTTCAGCATTACCAATTTTTTGTAATTTATCATGATCATGACATGATGACAAATGATTAACGGGCATAGCTCAGTTGGTACAGCCATGAACTGTTGAAATACAGACCCAAGTTCGAATCCACAGTGTCACGCAATCAGATGATGAGCAGAACAAAGCATTACCATGATAAGTCTGAACTGGAAGACATGGCACACCCATGGTCACATAACAGGCAAAGGTATATAATATTATAGGTCCTGGCATTCTCACTCACAGATTGGCAGTTGCCTGCTGTTACGGAAAGAGGTTTAGAAAAAAACAATTCAGTCCATCGGTACTCGAGTGATGACTCGCCCGCCAAAGTTGGGCCCTAGTTGGACGCAGTCCAACGTGCCAACGCTGGGGCAGGTTGGGCCCATGTTGGGCCAGGTTAGGCCGAGTTCATTGATTGATGACTTGCCTGCCAAAGTTGGGTCTCTGGTTGGGCCCAGTCAAAGTGCCCAGGCTGGGCCAGGTTGGGCCCAGTCTCAAGAGCCCAGTTTAGGCGTTTAGGCCAAGTGCAGGAGCGCAGTTTAGGCCCAGTTTAGGCCCAGTTCAAGAGCCCAGGTTGGGTCAGGTTTGGCCTAGTAGTTCATTGATTGATGACTCACGTGCCAAGGTTGGGCCCTGGTTGGCCCAGTCCAAGAACCCAGGCTGGGTCAGGTTGGGGCTACTGTCTTCACCTGAATAGAACGCCCGGTCATTATAGCTGCATTTGGCCCAACTTTCAGTCCAGATGCAGCGATAATGACCTGGTCTTCTATTCGGGTGAAGACGGTAGTCCAATAGCCCAGTTTAGGCCCAGTTTAGGCCCAGTCCAAGAGCCCAGGTTGGGCCCACGTTAGGCCCAGTTCAAGATCCCAGGTTGGGCCCAGTTCAAAATCCCAGGTTGGGCCCAGGTTAGGCGCATACCACGGTGATGCTTGATCGATGACTCACCTGCCAAGGTTGGGCCCAGTCTAAGGGCATTGGCCATGCTCCAATCCATGCCCCGATTGCAGCACCATGAGCAGGAATACACAGCAAAATCTCCACCGCTCCCAAAGGCCTGCAGCATATCATGTCCACCAAAGAAACTGCCACCATTAGGACGGGTTGGGGGGAGGGGAGGGAGCGGAGGGAAGGGGGTACAGGGTGTCGGGTTAGGTAGGTATCAATCTCGTGGGCTGCTCACAAATTTCCAGAGCGTGACAGCATACCATGCCTGACGTCAGCAGTTGACGTCCGTTGCTCTTTTCAACAAGGCCACAGCGGATTAGCATCCATGTGATCTGATAGCTTCCCGGAGTCCCTTTGGATGACTACGCCCTTTATGCTATCTTATCATCTGACCTAATCAAACATGGATTACGACCCTTACCCTTTCTTCTCTCTTGAGTGACCAGCCCCAGGTAATTCAGAACTACGTTATTCTGTTCATCTGATAGCATCTGGATTCGAACTCATATCCAATCTGACACAAGTTGATCCAGTCTGATCCAATCCGGTCCAATCTGATCCAATCTGATCCAATCTGATCCAACCTGATTTGATCCAATCTGATCCATTCTGACCCAATCTGATTTGATCGAATCCGGTCCAATCTGATCCAATCTGTCCCGATCTGATTTGAACCAATCTGATCCAATGTGTCCCAATCTGTCCCAATCTGTCCCAATCTGATTTGAGCCAATCTGATTCAATCCGATCCAATCTGACACAAGTTGATCCAATCTGATCCAATGTGTCCCAATGTGTCCCAATCTGATTTGGTCCAATCTGATCCAATCTGACCCAATCTGATCCAATCTGTCCCAATCTGATTTCAGCTGATCCAATCTGTCCCAATCTGATCCAATCCGATCCATTTTGACACAGGTTGATCCAATCTGATCCAATCTGTCCCAATCTGATTTGGTCCAATCTGTGATCCATTCTGACCCAATGTGATCCAATCCGACCCAATCTGATCCAATCTGACCCGATCTGATCCAATCTGACCCAATCTGATTTGATCCAATCTGATCCAATCTGCTCCAATCTGATCCAAATGCAACCAGTCTATTTTAGTCCCACAACGGTCTTCCAGTGTCAAGCATGGACCTCAACCAATCCACTTTCATCTGGATCTGGTCCAGTTCTGATCCTATCCAATCGCAGGTAACCTAACCTGACCCCACGTCGCCCGATCGTTTTGTTTTTCTTTCCTTTCTTCTGCTCTTTGTTTTCTTCAGAAAAGTCGATGGCCTTGCGATATCACCGTGGAACTAAACGGGCCACAGATAATTCAGAAGTATTTGATTTCCTTCCGGCCCCAGATAATCCAGAAATACTTCATTTCATTCCTCCAGTTTCATCTGCATTCGAACTCAGGTCGACATCTCAACAACTCAGGGGTGTACCCACTGAGCTAGGCCCGTTGGTCCCGCCTCACCCACCCAATCTGATCCATACGCTATTACGCATTGATCTTTCTCATTCCCGCTGGGATCAAGCACCAATCAGATTGGATCAGATTGGATTCAAATGAAGCCAGCATTCGCAACAGTCTGACACAGTAACTGATGACGTGATGTTGCCAGTTGCTTTCTTTCCCTGGCTGTCCGTATCTTCCACACCATGTCTCTCCTGCTTTGACTTTTCCCCCTACAGTCTCTGTGCCTTCTGCCCCCGAATACAGCTATAAAGAACTGCCCGGTGAACCCTACCCTACCCTCTTCCCCCGAATACAACGTATGGTCATTATAGCTGTAAGACTGAGAGATACCCCAAATACAGCTATAAAAAGCCTGTAATGACCGTACGTTGTAGTCAGGGGAAGAAGGTGGGCAGAGAGCGACACGAGGACAACAAACAACGGGCAGACTATTTCATTGCAGTTTCATCGACTGACCCATCACTTGACTTTTCCCATGCAGTCCCTGTGACTTCTGCAACCAGATAAAGAACTGCCCGGTGAACCCTGGGTAGAGAGAGAGAGAGAGAGAGAGAGAGAGAGAGAGAGAGAGAGAGAGAGAGAGAGAGAGAGAGAGAGAGAGAGAGAGAGAGAGAGAGAGAGAGAGAGAGTCTGAGGAGAGGCTGGATTTTGCACAGTCGCCTAGGCGATGATACTGAAAGGGACAATTAAGCATCAACGACTGCCCGACAACTGATACCCGGAGTGAGGTGGGCACCAACCACTGCCCTCAAGGTACGTGTGACGAAAATCAAAGCAGGTTGCCCGGGGAGCCGTGCGCAGAAAGGGATAAATATATATATATCGTCAAATAGAACTGCCCGGTAAACCGTAGGCAGAGAGGGAGAAGAGGACAACAAACGAGGGGCTGTGACAAACTGTTATATTGTCACAAACAGAACTGCGCGGTAAACCGTAGGCAGAGAGAGAGAAGAGGACAACAAACGAGGGGCTGTGGCAAACTGTTTCGTCGGATATATATATATTCTATTTGACGATATATATATAAAAAAAAGGGAGTTTATGACATGCTGATATGTGGTGCAGGTATTGCCGACAGCGTGCTGCAAGGGAGCTTCCTGGGATGACTGGATTAGACTGTTTGCTCAAACGAGGTAGATATATATTCGTAAACTCTTTATATCTGTGAACACTGAACACACAGCTTCTTGTCATGAGAGATGATGGGGACAGTAATGGAGTAGCAAGGAAACACAAATGGTATCGTCTACCACATGACTCAGTACAACTGTTAACATATAACATGGACACAAAACAAAATCATTGGAAAAACAAAAGAAAAAAAGAGCACACCATGTCACATGAGGTCACACTAGTATGCTTATCTGTACCAATGGGCCGAGATCAGTAGGTAGACCGACAAACTGTTGAAATGCAGACCCAAGTTCGAATCCAGATAAAATTGCGAGGGATGAGCCCACGCTGTGGGCTTTAGGCCGCGGCCTCCCACAGCCCAAGGGTCCCCCACACAGCCTCCTCCCCGCCCTAAGTGAAGCCGGGCCTGCGTTTGGAAACGAGGCCTATTTTTGTCATTTCTGCACTGTGGGGCGCCAGGCAGTTGCCACGTGCCAGTTGGTTACAGGGCCACGCCTATGTGAGCACAACATGCATCTGGGCTCAGTCCAGCAGCGAGGTGGCCAGAGGCTCTCGGCCAATCAGAACGCAGGGAGCAACGTGGCTGGTCCTCTGTAGGCCCATGAGAATGCAGCGTGCGGCAGCAGCCACATCGCACAGTTGGGCAGCCTCAATGCTGTGGGCCCTGGCAACTGTCTGCATGGGCCTGGGCTCAGACACTTTGGCCCAATGTGAAGCGCTACTGGGCACATGCATGCCAGGCCCTGCCCAGCCAGAGTGTCGCATACCGTAACGGTGCAGACCAGAACAAGAACCGACCTCTCTCACGTAGTACAAGATAGCGCAACGGAAGGCTAGTATACCAATGATCCAAACAATCAATGTTGCAATGCAGACCAAACATACATCATCATCATTCCATGGTGTGAAGGGGCCTGGCGCTCACACAGGAAGAATGCGCCAGTCCCCAACCATACACAGAGAAGAAGAGGGGGGTTAGACGAAGAAGAGGGGAAGATGGGAATGTCGTCAACACCAAGTCTTCGGTGCAGGTCTCAAATAATCCCTCGTCCAATGTCTCAATCCCAATGTGGAGTCTGGATCCAAATGTCGTCAAGTCCCAAAGTCGCCAATCTCTCTCTCTCTCTCGTAGTCTGCAGATACTGAGAAGTTAGGTAGCAAGAGGGTGAGGGAGAGATGGTGGACTTAGAAGAGGAAGAAGAAGAACTCTCTCTCTCTCTCTCTCTCTCTCTCTCTCTCTCTCTCTCTCT